AACAGGTGAGTAAGAGTAACAAAATCTACTAATACCAGCCACTGGAGTCCAGGGGCTCCTGCTCCTCCTTTCCAAAAGGGCCAAGTTTCGAGCCAGAGAATCTTGCCATTCCCTGCCATGACTGCTAATATGCAGAAATATTTACACGTGCACAGCCTGGCCCCTCTCTATAGAAACACTGGCCAAAATGCCAGATGATCTATGCCCAGCTTGCTCAGTAAAATGATGGGAGTTCAGAGTATGGTGTGTACACTCTACGACTTCATTCTCCAGTAACACCTTACATTGTGTCTGCACTATAAGGTCCAGGGAATCCCAAAGCTATGGCCTTCTACCAGGTATTATAATTCATCTACAGCCTTCCCAAGCCATGTACGTTTTCCAAATGGGGTCTTTTTTAAAAGTAAAGAACACAGCCTGAATATACCACTGACATTCCACCTTTAATCAAGCTTTCTAGAAAAGCAGTACAGCAGAAGGTTAACCTGCAGTAATTTCCCCATGAGGAAGGAGACAGGGTTTTGTTACCATTTACTCACAGTTCTCTCACATATTCTTGGATTAAGACCAAGATGAGTATTTTTGACCACCAGGAAACTGTATTGTCTAATGGGACACTGGTTGTTTTCTCCAGTTCCTAACCAAATGACCTGTTTTTTCAGGTAAAAATTTATTGCGGGTCTTTACAAAAATTAGGTATCTTGGAAATCATAAGCAAGTTTAAAACGATTAACACAGGACTGCGTTAGCACTAAATTTGGTGTAATTTTTTTATCCCCTTTAGAAACAACTTTTTTTAATACCCTTTAGAAACAACATCTAGAGTTATATTCAGTCACAATGGAACAAGGTTTTGATTATATCCTCTGGCTTGAATTTTTAAGTACTGGCTTAAGTTTTTAAGTTTTGAGTACTGAGAACAGTCCAGCTTTAACTACTTCCGTGTCTGCCCCTGAGATCCCAACAGCTGTCTCCAGATGGCAGCAGAGGACACTGGGTAGATTACAGTTTGGGATTAAAACAACGCAATGGCGTGCAGCGGTCTTTGTCAGGACTCCCCAAACAGTGCTTGTGAGTGGCCGCAAAGGTCTCCGCTTGCGGCTGGTTCGGACGTTCACTTGCTGGGACGGCCCCTGCGGACGCTGTGGCATACCACGGCCGCGTGCACACTCCTTCCTCCCTCATGGGAGCTCATGCTGCGCTTCCTCAGGCAGACCTAAACCCGCTCATTCTCAATCAACCCGATGGCTCCACCCCTTTTGATCACCGTAATCCCACTCACGAACAACTGTGTGGGTTCCACTACCCCTTCTGTCCACCAACCAGTGACCGATTTGGCCTATCTACCGCGGCCGGGGTTCCTGTATAACCAGCACCTCCACAATGGCATTTGGCTGAATCCATCAGCAGCACCAGAGCGGAAGGATTTTGCCAGCCCGGCTGCAACTGGCTCCCTGGCCGTGATGCGTTAGTTTAGTGGAACAGCTGCTGGGGTGGGCGGTGGGGTCCTGATTTGTACTGTTCCATGATTACCATGGTAAAGGTCTCAGCCATGGCCAATTTCAAGCTGCTGTGCCGTGCGAGGAACTGGGACGAGACGAGTGCCCACAGTCAGCTTCCTTTAACTGGTATGAGTCAGCTCTAACTGGCTTAGGTTTGGGTCAGCTCCACTATATGGCTGGTGAGGGGAATGGGCACTTTTCCTCTTAATACTGATTTACTCGCTTCAGTCTTCATCTGTCCTCTCAACGTGAATAGTTAGTCTCATTTACCTGGAATTCAGGTCCGGACAGGGGCAAGGCAAATGAGGTGCCTATGAGTGGAAAATTTAAAAAGGCACTCACTCTTAGAATCATGCAAATTTGCAGATGGTACAAGTGTATAATCATGCAAATTTGCAGATGGTATAAGTGTATGACCTAACAGTAAGGACCTTCCTTAAGTTTTGTGCCCCAGGCATCTCAGTGGCCACAACACTTCTGCCATTAAATCTTAAGGAGACCAGCCCCGCACCCATGCATGGTATCTCATCAGCACTTTCCTACCTGTTCTCTTTTAATCCCACAGTGCCTTGGCCACAAGCAGTCAAGGTCTAAAAGTCTATCCCACTTCTGAGGCACTACTGCGATACCCACCCTGATTGATCAGGAGCCCTGGTTTTGGGTTCCGCTAGACAGCCACACTCATGAGACCCCAAAGGCTCTCCTCTCACCTGTTTGTTCGGTTTTGCAGAAGAATGCAAGGCAAGAAACACAGCACAGTATTCAGGAGCAGGACGGAATCAGATATGTCCCTTCAGTGCAAGTCCTCACAGCAATCCAGGCCTGTTCTCCCAAAATGATGGCTCGGGTACAAGGAGACAAGCTTCCACAGGGGCGTGCAGGAACCATCCTAGCTCAGTAGCCTCATGCCACGTGAGGACAGTATCTCTCACGCCGGTCTGTGAGTGTAGTTCAGGACTCAGCAAGAAAAACATGAGTGTTATGTCACACCACCTTCAGGAATGCCCAAAGCTCTGGCTTCCCCCAGGTATTTATAATTCATTCACAACCCTCCCAGCTCAGATGCATTTTACCAGTGAAGGGCTGTGTTTGCCATTACGTGGTGTTCTGTGGTTACACAGCTGTCACTTCACCTTCAGCAGATTACAGAGAAACTGCGTTAGAAGATCAACGGGGGGGCACCTGGCTGAGGTCATGATCTTGGGGTCCTGGGATCGCGCCCCGCATCAGGTTCTCTGCTCGGCGGGGAACCTGCTTCCCCCTCTCTCTCTGCCAGCCTCTCTGCCTACTTGTGGTCTCTCTCTCTGTCTGTCAAACAAACAAACAAAATCTTAAAAAAAAAAAAAAGATCAATGGGAGGCCATTTTTACAGGAGGAAGGAGAAAGGGTTTTATTAACCTTTCACTCCTAGACACTAAGCCAGAACAACATAAAATCTCAGAATGTTGGGGGCAAGGAAAAATTCTAATACCATCCAAAGAAAAAAACAAGGTCTCCTTCAAAGCTTCAGTAATTAGAATGGCTTCACACTTTTCAACAGCAGCACCAGAAACCAGAAGACAATGAAGGAGTATCTCCAAAATTCCAAGGAAAATGAATTCCAAAACAGAAATACAAATCTTTGCAAACTATTGTTCAAGCTTACAGGTAGATTTTTCAGACATGCAAAGTCTTAAAAATTTCCCTCAATGTCCCTTTTTCTCAGAAAACTTCTGGAGAACACAAACCCTTGCCAAACAAAGAAAGAGCAAGATTCAAGAAAGAGCAGAAAATCCAAGATACAGGGGATTCCTCACAGGGGAGAAACAAAAGAAAGTCTCTACAGCTATGAGGAGATTTCAGGATATTCAGCAGGCCTGAAGAGTACATCATAGATTAGTCTGATGGCGGGAATCCAGAAGGAATATATTTAAAAAGAGAGAGAGAGAATCTGATATGTTTGAATGTACTAAGTAGAGATTTATATTTTGAAGGAGTTGGAGTGAATTACTGAAGGGATATAAAAAACTAAGGCAACAGAAAAAATCATATGACTAATAATCTAGGATAAAAAAGGTATTTAAAAAGGTACCAGTCTGCGGGTGCTTGGGTGGCTCACTCAGTTAAGCAACTGCCTTTGGCTCAGATCATGATCTCAGGGTCCTAGGATGGAGCCCCGCATGGGGCTCCCTGATCAGTGGGGAGCCTGCTTCTCCCTCTCCCTCTGCCATTTCCCCCTGCTTGTGCTCTCTCTCTCAAATAAAAAAAAATAAAATCTTAAATAAACAAATAAATGAGTAAGTAAATAAAAAGGCACCAGTTTTTCTGACTGGGAGGCTGGGAAAGGAGAAAGGCACGAACAGTGAGGAGGAGTGCAGGGTAGGCTATCAGATACATTTGGTTTACTGACATGACAGCAACTCCCAACTCACTTCTCCTTGCCTCCCTATACTAGAGAGGCTGGAAAAGCTAATTTCCTCTCTTCCGAGCTTTTCTTCAAGTTATGGATTATCAGGTAGGTGTTCTGGTCAATGATATATAATCAGAAATCTACTAGCAATTTCTGGGAAAGCTTTTACTTCCCTGATGAAATAGGCAGATTTAGCTGCTGTCGCACTCCCTTTCTCTCTGTCTCGCACCTGGCTTGATGCCTACAGCTACAGCAGTCATGCCACAAACATGAATCAATAAAACCAACAGGTTAAGACTAGCGCCACAGAAATACAAGAGTCTGAGTTACTGATGATGTATTTGAGGAGGTTTAAAAATTTTTAAATCAAGAAATAACATGCTGAAGCATATCATTAAAAACTTTAGCTTAGGGGCAGCCCAGTGGCTCCGTTGGTTTAGTGTCAGCCTTCGGCTCAGGTCATAATCCCAGGGTCCTGGGATCGAGCCTCCATCAGGTTCCCTGGTTGGTGGGAAGTCTGCTTCTCACTCTCCTCTACCTCTCACCTTGCTTGTGCTCTCACTCTCATATAAATAAATAAAATCTTTTTTTTTTTAATTTTAGCTGAAAAATTAAAAATGAATGCCACTGAGGAGTAAAAATTGGAGATCAGGAACAAGGGGGCAGGAGTTGCTATTTTTCATTGTAAGCCTTACAAGCAGGGTTATGGGCCAAGTACTTCTTTGTCACGGGGTGCTGTTCTGAGCATTACTGTTTGGCAGTGTCCTTGGCCTCTACCCATTAGATGCTACTAGTAGCAACTTGGGATGACTGTGACATTTAAAAATTCCAGTTATTACCAAATGACCCCAGGGCAAAACTGCCCCAGTTGAGAACCATTGCCTTATAGGGTTTTATTTCTGTAACCTTCCAGAGTGCTACAATGTATTATTTTGATAAAATTAAATTACGGGGGGGGGGGGGGGGACTAATGATATGAAAGGAACCAGGGACCATCAATGTCATTTTTCCTCTCAAACAACTGTCAGTTTCTTTCCTGACCTCTCCCTGGGTCTCAGAATCCCGCTCCTTCCCTACCAGACAAGCACAGACAGAACCGAGACGCTTACCGCCTAGAAAAGCACACTCGTAATGGCTGCAGGTCTTGTTGGTGCTTTGAAGGATAAGGTTATTGCTGGTCCCATCCTGTGACACATGAAAAATCTCATTCAGGGGTATTAAAACAATTCTTTCACTTTCTTTATCAAAAAAGTGTTCCATGGCAACTGCAAAGCACGTGCGGATGGTTAACAGAACGTGCTGGTCGTCAGCAGCTTGAGGTCTGGCGGAATACGCCAGCGTGAACCGGCCAAGCCTGGCCTGGCTGGGCCCTCCGGGCGTGAAGGAGACATCCTGGCTTATACTATAGACCGCAGCTTTGTAACTGTCCTCACAAGGTCTTCTCAGCAACTGCAGCGCTCTTGTCAGATAAAAATGAAAAGCTTTGAACTGGAAGTCATAGACATAATCTTTCCGAGACAGGCCGGCCGTCTTCACAGCTTCGCTGAACATGCGGTGAAAGGGAGTCTGCGCCCGAGCTTCAGCAGCGTACGCCGTCAGTGCTATTCCGTGGTTATCTGTAAAACTCATCGGGAGGAAGGTGCGCGTCTTCTGGGCTTCCCATTTGGCTTCTGCATTTTCCCACACATCCTTCAAGAGCTGATGGCTTGCTTTTTCCTCCTTGAGCAACTGGGGAACATATTTGACCTCCATTCTGTCAGTGCATCTCAGGTACTCATCGTCGAACGCGCTATCCGCCATGTCCAACGTCTCTGCCGTCGCCTTCAAAAGAAAAGGAAAAGGAAACGAATGCTCTTGAAATGAGATATTTGGTGTATATCATTTTCTCTCCCTTACTGTTCTCATACTCTCATGCCCTGCCTAGAATCTCTCCCTTACTTAGAACAACTTTGGACATGATTTTTTTGGGGGGGCATGATTTTTATACAGGAAGTATATTCCACTGTTACTGATAACTTTTCTTAGCTGTGATCTCTTTGTATGAAAAAGTAAATGTTAGCAATGAGAAGTGTGGGAATGATTAGGTCTGTAATTCGTTCATCTGCACTTTATGGTGCAGAGGAAAGAGTAAGTGCGAAATTGGAGAAATGGGTGGCAGCCCTGGCTTTGAACAATATTCTTAGCTAGATTCTCTCAACCCCTTAACACTGCCAAACGATTTTGAAATACCATCTGCGAAATACTGTACATGATAAATACATAATGATAAATATTATTCATTTTCCTTTGCGGACTCCCCCGCGTGGGTTGGGTAGAACTGATCTGCACCTTGCTGCAATGATAAGCAACGATGCAGGGGTCTTTATTCTGCGAGAGCAAGCGCGCATGCAGGAGAGTGAGCGAGCACGTAAACAGGCAGGGTGGGGAGGGGCACAGGGAGAGGGAAGAATTTTAAGCAGGTTCCACCCTCAGCGGCACAAAGCCCCATCCATGCAGGGCTCAATCTCACAACCCTAAGATCATGACCTGAGCCAAAATCAAGAATCAGATGCTTACTACTGGATATTTACCCCAAAGATACAAATGTAGTAATCTGAAGGGGCACCTGTACCCCAATGTATATAGCAGCAATGTCCCCAACAGCCAACTATGGAAAGAGCCCAGATGTCCATCAACAGATGAATGGATAAAGAAGATGCAGTGTATACACACACACACACACACACACACACTGGAATTTTATACAGCCATCAAAAAATTAAAATCTTGGGGCGCCTGGTTGGCTCAGTGGGTTAAGCCTCTGCCTTCGGCTCGGGTCATGATCTCAGGGTCCTGGGATCGAGCCCCGCATCGGGCTCTCTGTTCAGCGGGGAGCCTGCTTCTTCCTCTCTCTGCCTGCCTCTCTGCCTACTTGTGATCTCTGTCAAATAAATAAATAAAATATTTAAAAAAAATTAAAATCTTGCCTTTTACAATGATGTGGATGGAACTAGAGGGTATTATGTTAAATAAGTCAATCAGAGAAAGACATTTGTCATATAATCTCACGGATATGCGGAATTTAAGAAACAAGGCAGAGGATTGTAGGGGAAGAGAGGAAAACATGAAACAAGATGAAACTGGAGAGGGAGACAAACCATAAGAGACTCCTAATCTCAGGGAACAAACTGAGGGCTGCTGGAGGGGAGGGAGGGCGCGAGGGATGGGGTGGCTGGGTGATGGACATTGGGAGGGTATGTGTTATGGGGAGCATTGTGCATTGTTTAAGACTGATGAACCACACACATGGACCCCTGAAACAAATAATACATTATACGTTAATTAAAACCAAAAGGAACCAGATGCTTAACTGACTGAACCACCCAGGTGTTCCAGTGATGCAGGTCTAAAAACCAGAGCACTCCTGGGAAGAGGAAAAAAGCTTTCTTCCTCTACAACCATAAGCTCTAAGGGTGATATTGGCTTGGGGCAGCCAACAGTTATCCTTTATAGTTCCATGAAGAATCCTGTCTGTAAATAAAACCAACAAAGGAAAGCTTGCAGTGCTGAAAAGAAGAGAGATGAGGCCCTGATGACATTAGTCAAGGCCCTGAGTTTAGCTGCACCTGAAGATTGTATTCTACCTTGGTCATAAGTATCAAGATTCCCTATTTACTTGAGTATCAAGATTCTATCAAGATTCTATCAAGATACTTGAGTATCAAGATTCCCTATTTACAAGATTCCCTATTTACTTAGTCCAAATTGTGTTTCTGTCACACACAACTGAAAAAAAGCCTAATGTACCTTTAAATGATACCTGTAACATAATAAGTGGGATTGTATAATATAATTAGCACTAGCTTGGAGCCAGACAAATCTAGGTTTAGATTCTGTAACTAGATACTATTTGATATGGGAAAGTTACTTTTTACATTTCTGAGCTTCAATTTTCTCATCTAAAAACGAGGATAAAGGCAATAATATCTTAACTGCAGGACTGTTGTAAAGAACTAATGATAAAATGAATATATGCAAAGCCCTTACCTACATTGCCTACCACCTATTAAGCCTTCAACATGCTGGGGTTATTTTCATTATTTCATGATAGGAATATACATATTATACTGGAAGCTCCTCAGGGCAGGATCTGTGTCACATTTGCCTTTTGAATTCCAAGCTTCCAGCACAGTAACTAGCAAAATATTTAAGTGAACTAAATTAATAAAGGATAGTTGGAAGAAAGGCAGGCAGAGACGACCCCTCCCACCCCGGCCCCCAAGAGGAGACCATCCTTAAAAGAATTTTACACCACCCGGGAAAGAGCCCTCCACCCTTTCCCACACAATAGACAGATGACAAAATCTGTCTGGGTGACAGGGGCAGGGAGGGTTAATCAGATTAAAACAGCTTGCCAACAAGCCCATAAAAACCCCTAGACATAGAAACTCCCAGGCCAACCCTCTTGGGTCCCCTGCCTCTTCAGGAGCTTTGTACTATCACTTTGCTATCACCCAATAAACTTTGCTTTGCCACCCACCACTCTTCATGGGGTCTACCTCTTCATTCTTCGAAGTGGTGTGACCAAAAACTGAGGGCACTAAAGAAAAAGAAATCCTGCAAAATAAGAACCTGTACTCTGGCCTATAGATCAAAACACAGGACAAGAAAATCTGCCCGGGGACGCCACTTAAGGGTTTCTACAAATAAAAGGACAATGCCCTCGTCATCTTCCCTTTCCACTATTCTATACATGTAATAGTACACTGGTGGCAGAAGCTGCAACCTAAGCAGGAGGCCGCAGCTAAAAACTTGATAAAGACCCTTAGTCAGGAGCGCTTAAAGTTGCAGCTTCCACATGAATGACTTTTATTTTTTTTACTCACAAATGATTCTTGAAAAGTGTGTGTATGAGTGTGTGAAAGTGTGTATGCCAGGGGTGAGGGGAGGGAGAAGGTTGAAAGAGAGAGAGAATCAACTCAAGAAAGCAAAATAAACACCCCAGGCTAACTATCTGCTTCTTATCATCTCTTTTCTCCCCCTCATAGACCAACTTCTCAAAAGAAACATCTACCCTCAGTATCTCCACTCATTTCCACTCATTCCTACTCATATCTCAGTCCTCTTCAGTCGGCTTCCCACCCCATTCCTCCACCCAAACAGCTCTTGCTGAGGCAACACCTCTTCTTTTGAAGACCCAACATACTCTATCGGCCATTAAATGTTGGGAATTGCTCAAGGCTACTTGTTTTTTAACTCTCAACTCTACCCTTAGGCAATTATATACACGCACATGGTGTCAGTTATCATCTAAATACCTCTGACCTGTCCCTGTAAGTGCAGACGCATATTACCACCTGCCTACTTGGTAACTCCACTTGAACTGCACAAAGACCCATCAACTGTCAATAGTCAAGAGCAAACTCATCTTACCCGCTACAACCACCACCACCAGCCTGGTGCTTACACAGACCCATCTTTCATTTTTGCGTTTTCCTATGTATCTTCTTCTCAGTCACCCTCTGTGGCCACTCCATCACTAAGACCTAGCAAACTTCTCCCAGGTGTCATCTGTATGCCAAGCACTGAGTGTTCCTATGTATTAATGAGCTCATTTAATCTTCATGGCAACCCCGTGCGGCAGATACTATTAGTCCCTTTTTAAGGATGAGCAAACTAAGACAGATAAAGTAACTTGTCTGAAATTGAGATATGAAGCCACACAATCTGGCCCCATAGTCTGTCCTCTTAAACAAATGTCCTGTTTCCAATGACAAAGACCACTGATATTTACGCAGCACTTTCAGAAGGCTTTAATTTTCTCCTAACACCTGTTACAAAGGTTGGGCAGACAATTCATAACATCATTTTACAAATGAAGAAACTGGGCCAGCATCAGAAACTGTCTTTATTACCAGCCACAGAATATTCTGCTGGGGAAGTCACTGAGTTTCCTGAAGTGGGAATCTGAGCTCTAGGAGATTAAGTCACTACCATCTCCTAGCCAAGAAATGCATTTTTGTCTGCAGCACAGAACGTACCATGGTGTATCTTGGGCACTGATACTGATTCATCTTCAAGACTTCAATATAAGACATCACACCCTGAAACCACCTCCCACATTCCTCACATCATATCCGAGTCACATCATATCAGAGTCATATCCTATCCTATCCTGTCCAGTATGTTCCTATCTTTTCCTATGCCTCTAACCAGTCTCCACAGGTCTAATTTTAGACATTAAGTCTTTCTGGCCCAAAGCCACAGTTGATTCTGTGTTCTGTACAGTGAGTGCCTTGAGCACTGAAAAAGTTCACAAATGCCACCACCATTCAGGGATAACTGAATGGACATTAAGGGACATGTCCAAAAGGCTAGGTGAACACACTGATTATATTTTCTTCCTCTGTTTTATCCACTGAAACAAAAGCCCACACTAATGAAATTTAATTAGCAAAAAGCTAATACAAAAATATTACCAAAAAATGTGGAAATGACCTAAATGCTAATGAAAAGAAACTGGTAAAACAAATTATGGAACATTCACAGATCATACACAAAAATTATATTACAAAAGAATGTTAAAAATTCATAGCAAAACCACAGTGAGCTACCACTGCACACCTGTTAGAATGGCTATAATCAGAAGGGGGGAAAAAAGGGAAAATCAGTGTTGGCAGAGATGTAGAGTACCTGAACCCTCATACACTGCTGGGGAACATAACATTGTGCAGCCACTGAGGAAAACATAAAGTTACCGTATGACCCAGCAATTCCATTCATAGGTGTACACCCAGGAGAACTGAAAACGTGTTCACATAAAAATCTGTACATGAAGGTTCAAAGCAGGATTATTCACCCCTAAGAGCCTTTAAAAAGCGAGAACCAAAATGTTCATCAATTAATAAAGAGATAGGGGTGCCTGGCTGGCTCAGTTGGTTAAGCGCCCACCTTCAGCTCAGGTCCTCATCTTGGGCTGAGTATTATTCAGCTTTAAAAAGTAATGAAGTACTAGGATATGCTACAACACGAATGAACCTTGAAAACAAAACACTAGGTGAAAGAAGCCACACAAAGGGCCAGATCCTGTATGACTGCATTCCAGTGAGACACCCAGAATAGGCAAATCCACAGAAACAGAAAGCAGTAACGGTGTCAATGCATGTAGGGAAGAGGGAATTGGGACTGACTGCTGATAGCTACAGGGCCTTCTTTGGGGGTGATGGGAATGTTCGGTAAAGAGAAAAGATGGGAATGTTCTGTAAAGAGATAGTGGTGGTGGTTGTACAACACAGTGAATTTATGTTTATGATGTAAAGATTTTATTTATTTATTTGACAGAGAGAAAGATCCTAAGATACTTCCTAAGTAGACAGGAAGGGAGGGGGGAAGCAGGCTCCCTGCTGAGCAGAGAGCCCGATGCTGGGCTTGATCCCAGAACCCTGAGATCACGACCTGAGCCGAAGGCAGGGCTCAATCCACTGAGCTACCCAGGCGCCCCTATAAATACTCATTTTAATGAATTCACATAAATTTATATTTATGAAAATCACTGAATTATGTACTTTAAAATGGTGGGATTTTTATGGTATGTAAATTATACCTCAATTTAAAAAATCATGCCGTAGTACAGGCAACAGAATACACAATGATTCTACCAAGGGATCAGAATATTAAATTCAAAAACAAAATTTTAAGAACTTAACATATCTTAAAGAAGGCACTTCAACTTCCCCCTCTCTCCCTCTGCCTGCCTCTCTGCCTACTTGTGATCTCTGTCTGTCGGATAAATAAATAAAATCTTTAAAAAAAAAAAAAAGGCACTTCAAAACAGTGGAAAAATATTCAGTAGTGATGTGACAGTTAACATTGCGGGGAAGAAATCAAATGAGATAGCTCGCTCATATCTTACATAAAAATATGTTACAGAACGTTTAAAGATTCAACTGCAACAAATAAAATCATAAAAGTTCTATCAGAAAAAAGGAACACCAGGTGTGAGCAAATGGTCATTATATAGTTCAATAAAACATACATAACCAAACTGCAGTGTCACCTTATTTGGACAATATACATATTTTAAGAAACTTAATGACATAGACATGTAGGTACAGTAGTAACTTAAAAAGCAAAATAATACTTTGTACAGTGTGAATCCATTTTTCTAAATTACAAACACACACACACACAGAAAAAAGCCAAGAAGACTACACACCAACAGATTAAGAGTCTTTCCTTCTAAGTGGAAGGATTATGGATGATTTTTACTTTCTTCTGTTTGCTTAATTTTAATTTTTTCAACTTTCTACAGTTATTATGTATCTAATGTGTAAAATGAAAAGATAAAAGCTACTTGTAAAAAACCAATTTACCTATTCTATCTATTCCAGCCACTCTCATTTCCAACATCAACCCATACAAATGCCTCAAGCAACATATCAAGAGTTCCCATTCCAATGACTACATACTTCCCATTCCCAACATTACCTGGAAAATGTCCATTAGAATCAGAGCTGCCAGCAGCATGGTGACCATATCAAAACGTCTTGCCTTCATTTTTCTCTTCTAAATTAAAATGAAGAAATTCCAATTTAGCAGACTTAAAAAAGAGGTTTAGGGAAGGAAAGCAGGATGACACACTGTGTGTATTTCATTCAGGGTGAGAGTAGGCACCATGATGGTCAGGAAGTGATCATCAGTTAATTTCCAATGGCTGAAAGGGCCATTAGATTCTGTCTGGTGGCCTAACACCCTCATTCTACAGATAGGCAAACAAAAGCTCAGAGAACTTCAGAAATTTGCTCAAGATTAAATCTGTCCATTTCCATTCTCTTCCAGCCATGTTTTCTCTCTCACCATAGACAGTCACTGGAAGTCATATTTTCTTCCTATCTCTGAATTTCCCCCCAGCATACACAGGAAATAACACAAACTAAAAAACAACCACTTCAGACTGGTGGTTTCCTAGCTCCCAGTTTCCAAAAATTCCCCAGTAGTTATGGCCCATGCACAGCATCCATTCTTTTATTCTCTGCAAACTGAGTGACACCCATCTGGGTAGGATAGAGGGAATGATAAGACTAGTAATGGTACTCACTGGAGGGCTACCCAAGGGGGGCTCCTTGCCCCAAATATTCAGATTCAAGAGAAGCACAAGGACAAAACAAGTGTCTTGCATAAATTTCTGACGGCAAGAATGAAAATAAGGAAAAATTAGGTAGGCAGCAATTCTAATAGGATTAAACAACTCTTTTGGCCAAATGCCCAATACTTGTCCCATTATTTAGGAAAATGAAAGGGGTAAATAGGAGCGTGAAAGGCCTTCAGGAACTGAAGCTATCCCACAGCCGTTATCCGATTCAATTCAGTGCTGGTTCCTTCCACATACCTACAACAAAGCTGACACTACTGGAACTGAACTGAGCTCTCTACTTCATCCTACTAAGCACCATTTTCTGGCATGTACAAGCGGGAATGAACAGCATAGGGAGTCCTCTCCTTGGTCTCACATTCCCGTCTTTACTCAGGCACAGCTTCTTTCACTAGAGATACTAAAATATACTACCAAAATGCCATTTTTGTGTTGAACTTTACTTTCTAAAAAAGATTTGAAATATAATACTTTACAGGGGGCACCTGGGGGGCTCAGTCGGTTAAGTGTTTGCTTTCTGCTCAGGTCAGGATCCCAGGGTCCTGGGATCAAGCCCTACCTCAGGCTCCCTGCTCAGCTGGGAACCTGCTTCTCCCTCCCCCTTTGCCTCTCCCCCAGCTTGGGCCTTCTCGCTCTCTCTCTCTCTAACTAACTAAATATATATATATATATATATATGTAAAACTTGACAGATAACTGTCACAAGGCAATATATGCCAAGCAAGCTCTGAATCAGGATTTTCCGAAAATCCATTACTTCTCTAGTCTGAGTGTAAATAAGTCAAAATGTTTACCTGGCTTTTCTGCCTGTGGAGGAGGTTTAAATGATGCTAGGTCTCAGACTGTTCCCCACTCTCTCAGTTGTGGTAAGTGTGTCTTCAGGATGGGAGGTTGTTGACAGTGAGAGCTGAGAAGGGAATGCTTTTCTTTTTATAAACACCCCCAGCAGTAGCTTGGCAGTGGCACATTACCCCATTTGTGTTCTGCTATTTATATCTGGCCCCCACACTATCCTTTGGAATCACTGCTGTTAACACATGAAATCTCCCAGAGGCTTGTAAAGCCACAGCAATGCCCTCTAACCACACAGCATGTCCAGTTCCGAGCCCCGTTGTAGGCTTTTCGGAGAGCGATCACCTCCTACTCCGGACCCTTTGACTCTGAGATGTCAAACTAAAGCAAAGGAAAAATCCTAACTAGATGGCTCACGTAACTAAGGGAACTTGCGTTCATCGCTGGCAATGATGATGGCTATCGCCATTCACTCAACCCGCTTACGGTTTTTCAGGGAAGGGCGCCAGCTGCTGGGATACACAAGCAAGTAAAACGAAGTAATAAAAAGCACTCACAATCTGAAAAAACACATTAATATTCATACTTAACCAAAATATATGTTAAAAAGCCAAGTGAGTTTTAGAAAAAGTCAGTGAGAACACTAAGGGAAGGATTTGGTAACCTGCGACTACAGTCCCCATCTGAGTAAGTACACAGAGTAAATATACCGACTGCTGAGGAACACGTGGGAGTTCACGGACTGTGGTTAAAAAAACTGTGAAATATCCTAGGAAATTTGTGCATATATATCAAAATACATTAATATAATGTATTAGATAGTGCATGATGTGTAACAGCCCCAAACTGGAAAACATCCAGATGCCCAACAACAGCAGAATGGATACATTGTTATATTCATACAATGGAATTTTGTGTGGCTTGAGAATAACCATATGTAAGAAATGTGGATAAATCTTAACAAAATATTTTCCAGCAGAAGAAGAGACCCAAACATGTATATACTGTATGATTTAATTGGGATAGGGAATAAAATCAAACAAAACCCATCTATAACATCGGAATCAGAATACTGGTTGCTCTGAGTAGTAAGTAGACCTGGAAGAGGAACAAGGAGAGCATCTGGGATGCCAGTTAAGTTCTGGTGTGGCTCTGGGTGTTGATTACATTGACATACTCAGCTGTGAATATATTCACCAAGCTATATGCTTATGTGTATTTTCCTCTGTATGTGTGCATATGTACATATATTATTATACAACTAAACATTTAAGTATTAAAGTGCACCCATTTTTATAAAACCCACCTCTCATCTTCAGCCTTCAAAGCCTCTAACTTCTTCTTACCCCATGGCTAGGTAGTTCAAAATACAACTTAATACACTAAACAGACTCTGAGCAATAGCACCATTAAAAAAAAAAAAGTTTGGTCCAAAAGGAAAAAGAGGGTTTGCACATGTCTTCAGGCATTACTGACCTTCTTTTAAGTTGCAAGCATGTGAGCTTTCAGGAGTAGGATTTTCCTGTCTTTGGCACTAAACCCTACCAAATTTGTCTGTATATCACACAAAAGATGGAGTCCACGAAAAAGCATGTTAACAAACACTGCATGAAGTTCAAGGCAAGTCTGGCCTTCCTTATGCCTGATATGCTTTTGCTCCATTCCTGTTTTATTTCACTTTTAAACTTTTTAAAAATCAAAGTATAATTAACATATAAAACAGATTTAGATGTATAACATGTTTTTATACTTGTGTATATTGCAAAATGATCAGCATAATAAGTCTAGTATTAATGTCTGTCACCATATAATCACAAATTTTTGTGTGTGCTTTAACTTTTAAGACTTAATTGATTTTCAAATATGCAGTATAGTAGTATTACCTACAATTACCATGTTGTACATTATATCCCCATGACATTTATTTTACAACTGAAAATTCGTACCTTTTGACTTCCTCCACCATTTTCATCCACCTTCCCAATACCCAGTATGGCAACCACCAATCTGTTCTCTATATCCATGAGCTTAGTTTTTTTTTGGTTTTTGTTTTTGCTTTTTTAGATTCCACGTATAAATGAGGTCATGTGACATTTCTGTCTTAGACTTATCTCATTTTAGCATGCTGTTCTCAAGGTCCATCTATGTTCTCACAAATGGATGGGAGATATTTTACTCTTTTTTATGGCTGATAATATTCCATTTTATTTATATATGTGTATATATGTGTGTGCATATACATGTATCTATACACAAACACATTTTCTTTATCCATTCATCCACTGATGGACACTCAGGTTGTTTCTATATCTTGGTTATTGTAAATAATGCTGTAATGACATGGCGGTGATACATGCTTTTTCAAGTTAGTGTTTTGTTTTCTCTTATAAATAAATATAAATAAATAAATAAATAAATACCCAAACATGAAATTGCTGGATATTTTTTCCATAATGGCTACTCCAATATACACTACCACAAACAGTGCACAAAATTCCCCTTTTCCACATCCTTGTCAACACTTGGTATTTTTCCCTTCGCAGTCCTACCCCCGCTTTGTTCTTTTTGATAACAGCCATTCTTCTACCAGATGTACTGTGATAGCCCACTGTGGTTTTTACTTGAATTTCCCCGATTAGTGACTTTGAAGATCTTTTCATATACCCACTGGCCTTCTGTAAGTCTTCTTTGGAAAAATGTCTATTAAGAGCATCTGTTTATTTTTTTAATTGGATTTTTTTTGTTTTTGGCTATTGTCTGAGTTCTTCATATATTTTGGATACTAACCCCTTATCAGATATATGATTTGCAAATATCTTCTCCCATTCAGAAGGTTGCCTTTTCATTTTGTTACTGGTTTCCTCTGCTGTGTAGAAACTTTTTTGTTTGATGTAGTCCCAATTTTTTATTTTTGCTTTTATTGCCTTTGCTTTTGGTGTCAAATCCAAAAACTACTGCCAATTTACGATGTCAAGGAACTTACTCCCTATGTTTCCTCCCACAGATTTTATGGTTTCATGTCTTACCTTCAAGTCTTTAATCCATTTTGAGGTAATTTTTGTAAATGGTCCAGTTTTCCCAATACCATTTATTAGAGACTGTCCTTTGCCTATTGTATATTCTTCGTGTCTTTTCCTAAATTAATTTACCATATACGTATGGGTTTATTTCTGGGATCTCTATTCTGTTCCACTGATCTGTGCATCTGGTTTTTTGCTTTTGTTTTTAACTTTTTTTCATAAAGATTTATTTATTCATTTGAGAGAGACAGCAAGTGAGAGAACAAGCAGGGGGAAGGGTAGAGGAAGAGGGAGAAGCAGACTCCCTGCTGTGCAGGGTGCCCAATGCAGGGCTCAATTCCAGGACCCCAGGATCATGACCTGAGCTAAATAAAGGTGGTCACTTAAACGACAGAGCCACTCAGGTGCCCCAGAAGATGTTGTTTTTTAAAGTAGGCTCCGTGCCCAGCATGGAGCCCAATGTGGGGTTAGAATTCATGACCCCGAGATCAAGTCCTGAGCTGAGATCAAGAGCTGGATGCTCAACTGACTGAGCCACTCAGGTGCCCCTGTGTGTCTATTTTATGCCAATACCATACTAATTTGATTACTCTGGGTTTGTAATATAGTTTGAAATCAGGGAGCCTGATGCTTTGTTCTTCTTTTTCAAGATTGCTTAGACTATTTGCGTTTTGTGGTTCTACACAAATTTTAAAATTGCTTGTTCTATTTCTGTGAAAAAAAATGCCACTGGAATTTTGATAAAGGTTGCATTAAATCTATAGATTGCTATGGGTAGTGTGAACATTTTAACAATCTGATCTTCTAATCCATAAGCATGGAATATCATTCCATTTATTTTTGTCTCCTTATATTTCTTTCATCAATGCCATACTTCTCAGTATGTTAGTCTTTCTCCTCCTTGGTTAATTCCTAGTATTCTGCTCATTTTAATGCAACTGAAAATGAAGGTTATTTTCTTAATTTTTCTTTTTTTTAAGATTTATTTATTTCAGAGAGAAAGGGATCATGCATGCAAGTGGGGGGAAGGGCAGAGGGAGAGGAGAGAGAGAGAGAGAATCACCAGCCAACTCCTCACTGAGTCCGGAACCCAGTGTGGGGCTCAATCTCACAACCCTGAAATCATGACCAGAGCCAAAAATCAAAAGTTGGACGCTTAACCAACTGAGCCACCCAGGTGCCCCCTTAATTTCTCTTTCTGATAGTTTGTTATTGGTATATAGAAATGCAACATATTTCTCTGTATATTGACTTTGAAGGACTTTTTTTTAACAGACAGAGAGAGAGAGAGAGAGAGGGAGGGAGTCCAAGCAGGGGGAGGGGCAATGGGAGAGGGAGAGAAATCCTTGAGCAGATTCCTCTCTTAGCACAGAGGCCAACTTGGGGCTCAATTCCAGGACCCTGAGATTATCACCTGAGCCGAAATCAAGAGCTGATGCTTAACCAACAGAGCCACCTAGGCAACCCTCTGTATATTGACTCTGTATCCTGCAATTTTACTGAATTTACTAGTCTTAACAGTTTTTTGGTGCAATCTTTAAGGTTTTCTATATACAAAATACCATGTCATCTCAAGAGTGACAATTTTCCTTCTTTCTCTACAATCTGGATGGCTTTCATCTTTTTCTTGCCTAATTGCTGTGGCTACGACTTCAACACTATGTTGAATAAAAGTGGCAAGAGCAGGCATCCTTGGGGCTCCTGGGTGGCTCAGTCGGTTATGCAACTGACTCTTGGTTTCAGCTCAAGTCATGATCTCAGGGTCCTGGAATCCAGCATTACACTGGGCTCCACACTCAGTGGGGAGTCTGCTTTTCTCCCTCTCCTTCTCCCCATCCCCTGCTCATGCACAGTCGCTCTCTCAAATAAGTGAATAAAAAAAAAAAGAAGTGGGCATCCTTGTCTTTTTCCTAATCTTAGAGAAAAAGTTTTCATTTAACCCCACTGGGTTGTAATGTCAGCTGTGGGCTTTTCATAAATGGCCTTCATTATGTTGACGGATGTTCCTTCTATACCCACATTATTGCAAGTTTTTATTATAAATGGATATTGAACTTTGTCATATACTTTTCATGCTTCTATTTAAATGA